GACAGAAGCATTTAAAATTTCCTCCTTTCCTCCTTCCTTTCTTTCAATTTAAAGTGATTTGAAACAAGCCCCCCAAAACAAACAAACAAACAAACAAACACACACACACTGGTCACATTTAGGAACAGAAGCAATGCTTTGCAAGAAAACTGTTCATCATCGTGAGCGTGACCCAAAATATAATGATTCCCATAGGCCTGAGTCTCTAACGCCCCAGACTGCAAAAGCTTTTGCTGACCCACAGAGTCTTTTAAGTTCTTCCTGTCTACTGTGGCCAGAAAGCTTATGGATTTAGTTTAACATTAGAGGCCCAGAGAAACATCATGGCTGTGACCAACAGTTTCCATTTTTATTAAAATTTAGTTTTGCTCAAAGTAATTTCTAGCCTCAACCTCATTTCCTTTGGACTCTGACCTCAAGGAACATTTCAAAAATGATAGAGCTATTGTTCAACTATTTGTGCTCTTCTGAATCCATTGATATGGAAAAAAATCAGTGTGAAAATTGTTAAATTATAAGAAGCTGACTAAAGCTCTGCTCTAAGCCTTATCAGAATTCCATGAAAACATTTCTAGTGGTGTCTGTTTTGATACAGATTAACATCCTACCTGGGGAGCCTTCTTTAATGCCCTTCTTCCCATAACATCTTAAAAAGTGTAAGCAAGAAAGTCATTTTGGTAAGCATCTTATGATGGACTTTACCATGGCAACTGGTTCTGTGACAAAGAGGCTCCAAGAACTGCCTCCCTCCCCCTCAACCCCAAATGCAATGTGCTCAGGAACAAAAAAAAGGTAATTGACTTTTGCTGGGAAATGGCAGCTTATAATCAGAAAAAAAATGTATATAAGAACTGCTCAAGTTGAAAGCATTTAAACTAACTACCACCTTTGAAAATATTTATTTAAGAGTTTAACTTAAGAACAAAAAAGTCAATAAACCCTTCCAAAGAAATACCTCTATAAATAGGACCCAGGTCAATTCAACACTCCACCATGCTCCCCAAAACAAGGGAACTGCTATCCTCACTTCTAACACCACAGCTTTGTTTGCCTGTACTGGAACTTTCTATAAAGGGACGTAGTTCTCTTCTTCGACTCGCTTCTTTCACTCAACATTCCATTCGTGAGGATTTATCTATTTTTAAAAGCATGTGTTGATGCCTTTCTGGATTTAATGCAAGTTTCTAAAAGGACGTCAAGGAACATTTCAAAAATGATAGAGCTATGTTTCAACTACTTGCGCTCTTTCTGTAAGAAGCCCATCAGTTGGAAAGTTTACTTAGAAGAACACCGTCATCACTATTTACTGCTACTGAATTAATCTTCTTGCAAAATATCTGTATTTATTCTACAACTGCTAGCACTGCACAAATCTAAAAAAGACTACACAGAGCAGATGAAAATGGTCTGGTGTTGGGAATAAGTTCCTAGGCCCAGAATCCAAAGACCCGAGTCTATTTATACCTTACAGCTGCGGTCCCTAACCCCTAGGCCACGGACCCAGTGCCAGTCTGTGGCCTGTTAGGATCTGGGCTGCTCAGCAGGAGGTGAGTGGCAGGCTAGCCAGCAAAGCTTCATCTGTATTTGCAGCCGCTCCTCAGTGCTAATAGTTTCCTAGCGCTAGCATCACTGCTTCAGCTCCACCTCAGATAATCAATCAGGCATTAGATTCTCATAGGAGCACCGGTCCCTGGTGCCAAAAAGGCTGGAGATCACTGCCTTACGCTCAAGTGACTTTGAGGGTGTTCCTCAATGTTGACGTCCTTTGCTGTAAAATGGAGCTATCCTGCCTACCTTCCATATCCCACTGTTAGGACATAATGAAATAATAGCTGTATATCTTTGACTGTTAAATATCATGGCCATGGAGGTAGTGGCCACATATATGCGCCTTTACAAAAGCAAAATCATGAATTGACAAGTTCCTACTTTTTTCTTTTGTTGCAAGGAGACTGACAGTAACAAAGGTATTGTGGAAACAAAAATATAAATCATAAAATTAGACATCTAATTATAGACATCTTGTATTAGTATTTTAGACTTTACAGTATTAATACATAAAACATGTAAAATGATAATCTAGTTTTTTACCTCAGGAAAACATAAACTCTACCCTTACATGCAGATACTTACACATATAAATTAAAAATTTTATTTGAGAATTTCATGACAATCTGTGTAAAGATCACATATTTGAGGTTGAATCTTAATCTAGTAAATTAAAAGGTCACTCAAATTTTCTGATATATTCACACAGAAATAATTTTTCAGGCAACCTTGAAATATAGCACAAATTTCAAAGATCATAAGAAGCAAATCTTAACCAAAAAGGTTTAAAAGAATAAGTAGCACGGTGACATCCTGCAGAGAGGGTTCCCTTTTCCATGTGACGTCTGCAGAGGGAGAGGGAGAAGCACTGTTCTGTGGTTTTCATGCGTCTCAATGGTGCTCGTCAGCCCTAGTAACCTACTTTTCTTTTAGTTATCAGAATCGATAACAGTACCTCAATGGAACAGTACCTCAGTTAGCCTCGTTGCCATGGGGTGATCACCAGGGACAGCTCCAGTATGACAACTGACAAAGATCATCTATTTTATAAAGTACTCCCTTCATTTGAAAGAAAATTTCCCGGACAAGCAGGACACATATAAAGTCATATGCAAAGTGACTTTTATATAGTGCCACAATCTACTAAAGAAAAATAAAAAACCCAGGATGGTATGATTTCCAGAATGATCTGACTCCCATCCCGCCTAGTATTTATAAATACAGCAGGTGCGCAGGGAAAAAAATCCTGCATCTCAATGGCAGAATACATTATACTTACTCCATTAAGATAGGTATTGTAATGCTGTGGATTATTACATAAGCCTCTCAACTGGTCTCCATGCTTCTGCCCTTTCGACTACCTTCCCTTACTCCTCCTTCCCCTCCAACTGTATATTTCTCAATTCAGTAGCCAGAGAGATCCTTTTAAAATGTAAGTAAGATCATGTTGCTCTTCTGCTCAACGCCCCTGACATTTCCAACATTCTTACTATGACCTACAAAACTCTACATGCTCTATGAAGTGGCCCAAAGACCTCGTCTCCTACTATTCTATCCCTTATTTATTCTACCCCAGCCAGACCATCCTCCACACAGTTCCTTAAGCATATCAGGCACACTCCTGCCTCAGGGCCTTTGCAACTGCTGCTCCCATCTCCTGAAATGCTCTTCCCTTAGACATCCACACAGGTAGAACCTTCTTATTCTTCAGGTATTGAGTTGACTCCTCTTCTTTTTGAGGTCTTACCTGTTTTTGAGGTCTCACCCTACCTAAAATTTCAACTCTTTTCCAATATTTTACAATCCTCTGCTTTCTATTTTCTCTTTAGTACGTATCACTAATACACATATTTTTCAGTTAGTTATCTTAGTTGTCTCTCTCAGAAAAATGTGAGTTTCAGGAGACTTTAAATCAGAATTGTTTAGAGAGCTATTTCAGAATTTTAGCTAAAAAGGAGGTTACCATCTATTAATTGATTTCTATATGCCTTGCCCTGGGTGGGTTACAGACTTTATAGGAATTGATACCTCCTTTCATTTTCACAGCATTTCACTTCATTTTATAAATAAAGAAATGGAGTAAAGTAACTTTACTTTTGGAAAGTTCACAAGTAAGTGACTGGAATTAGAACTCAGATCTGCCTCCAAAGTCTCTCTGTTAAACAGTGTAAAATAACAACTTGTCAATATTTGCAACCGATTACCAGGTTTTCTGATCTAAAAATAAAATCTCCATTTACACGTCTAAATATGAACAAAACTTTTTTGAAAATCTATAAAAGCCAGCACTGTAGTGTAGTGGGTGAAATACTACATTGTGGAGTAAAAAACAGTAAATACCAACATCCCGGTTCCGTCATTCACTACCTATAGGATTTGAGCAACTCTAGCTCCCTGTGCTGAGAACAGCATACCTCCAATACCACGGACATGCTCATGTTAATGGAATCCCTCAGTACAAGGTGAAGTATCTTTCAAACATTGAGTTTAAATTTGCCTTGCTCGCAGAACATAAATGCAGTTCTTAAACCTGTTAATTGGTCAATAATGTTCATCAAGAGCCCACAGTCTGGTCCTGGAGGGAATGCAGAGTCACAAATGAAACTTAAACCACAGTTCCTCGTGTTGAATTACTTAATTTAGAAAGGAAGATCACCTGTCATGCCAGTGGTTGTTTTGTAGATTTTGGATGCTGTTAAGACCCGCATTTCAGAGACTACTAGATCCTGTCTGGAAATCAGACAAGCTCCTGCCAGATGAATAGTAGAGCCTGAAATATGGTCTCTTTGGCAAATGGCCAAGTTACCAAAAAGTGGACTTAACTGTGAAATACAGATTACCCCAGGCTCATTTTTCTTTTTAAATCTGCTATGCTTTTAAAAATTAGAAAATGTAATTATAACTAGAATTAAACTTAGCATTCATTTAGCAAGTATTACATAAAAAGAGGTAGAACAGATGAAACTACACGCAGCATTATTTAAGAGGATACCAACATATATTCTAGTCCTTTCTGCAGGACACTTATCCAGTCTTTGGTGCTACTTCCCCCCAGAATTAAATCTCTTTGGGGTTGACTCATGGTTAATATTTTAGATAGCTTTATAAGGTGTCAAAATTATTGCACTTTTTTGGCTATATGCTGCTTTTACCTTCAATATACTTAGACATGAGACATCCTGACCTAATTTGTACTCTCCTATCTCCCTCCTCACCCCCCTACCCTGCCAGACACAACAACAAAGAAAACCAGGAATGGTGGAAATGGATCCATACAAAAACATAGTTTATGGCCCAACCAGCAACTCCATGATTATGACCAGGATGTGGTTTTCATGCAATAATGTGTTTCACAATAACATGTTTTCATCCA